TATATATATATATATATATATATATGTTATAATTATTATTTAAAAATATATTTTCATCGCGATACATATAAGCAAAACCTAATAAAACTTAAAATTTGAAGTTCATTTTCATTTTCAAGAAATGCTGGTAATTTTTGCGTCGCTAAAAATACATATTTTTAAATAATAATTATAATATTATACTCTACTTTTTTAGAAAATAAATGCTAAAGAACTCTGGATTATAAATCTGACTGTTCTTTTTTGTTTGATTATATATATATATATATATATATCAGTTATTTCTGAAGAAAGATTGAGGTCAATCTGAAATATCAAATATACATATAAATAAATACTTTCATAAGAAAACATTATTATTTTTTAATTTGAAACTTTTATATATATATATATATATATATATATATATATATGTCAGTCAGTTATGTTCCATGCGTGATACACACGTAGGCGATCATGTATCTTTCGATACATGACTGACGCAGCAGATGTTTTTCCCGCAGTAGGTTACCATTTCTTTCTGCGGTAGATCAGTTGCCATCCAAGGTATTCGGTCAAAGACCACTCTTCAAAAATAATTACTAAGTAAGCTTGATGTATTTAAGAAAGATATTCGAATAATCCAGAACGTATACCGGCAGCGAACCACCTGCATGCTGGTAGAAAATGAATTCAGTAAATACACAATAATAGAAATGGATGTGAGACAAGGATGTGCCATCTCGCCGGACTTATTCAACCGATACAGTGAGGTGATTGTGAGAGAATTAGAAGTCCTACCAGGATTCATTATTGGTGATCCCAATCTTAACAACATAAGATATGCAGATGACACAGTGCTGATAGCAGACACAGAAAGATAACTATAGAAATTCCTACATAAGGCAGAAAAGGAGCGAAAAGGAATAAATACCTTGGATATTTTTTTTTTTAACAGAGGGCGGGAAATGTGACACTGAAATCCTAAGGCGCATTTAGATAGTGAAAGATGCCTTCCAAAAAAAACATGCAAAAAAATCTAAGAAATAGGATATATATCGGTGCAAGATATACAGATGACACTCTGTTGATAGCAGACACGAAAGGAAAACTCCTCGATAAGGTAATGAAGAAAAGCGTGAAGAAAGGACTAACTATCAATTGTAAGAAGACATAACGTTTGTTTGTCAGCAGAAGAAGACGCTCAAATACACGATCTACGAATTGATGGTGCAAAATCAAAGAAGTGCACAAGTTTAAATATCTGGCAATTCCCAGCCGTCGTGTGTTGGGCCTGTCTGGAATTCGAGTGAGCGACGTTCTATTTTTTAAAGACTTTCAGTATTCCGTTATCATTGTTAAACACGGTAAGGTTGATGGTTGGGGAGAGGTGTTTGATATGCAAGGCCTATTTTATAACGAGATGTTATACAAATTGATGGCGTGAAGATCAAGAATTTTAAATATCTGACAATCGTGTATTATTTGTAAATTGTAGTCAGAGCAAAATTTTTGTTTTGTAAATTTAATCCACGCAGAATCTACTAACACGTTTCTTTTTTTCTATCGATTATTTCTTTTTTTTCCTTTCTTTTTTTCTTTTTATTTCTTTGTTTGTTTGTTTCTTTCTTTCTTCCTAGTATTTTTTTATTTTTTTGTTTGCGTTATAGTTTTCTTTATTTTCATTCTTTTTTTTTCTTTTTTTTTCCTTTTATTCTGTGCTTCGTTTCATTCTAGTATATTCCTTCTTCTTTTTCGCTCCTATCTTTTTTCTTTCTTTCTTTCTTTCTTTCTTTCTTTCTTTCTTTCTTTCTTTCTTTCTTTCAATATTCCTTTCTCCTATGAGTTTCTCCATGCCGTCCGTTCTTTCTTTCTTTCTTTCTTTCTTTCTTTCTTTCTTTCTTTCTTTCTTTCTTTCTTTCTTTCTTTCTCGTATTTTTTTTAAATTCGTTCTTTCTACTGATTTCTTACTTTCTTTTTAATATTTTCTTTCTCTCTTTTTTTTCTTTACGGTATATTTTTCTTCATTTTCAATCTGGTCTTTCTTTATTTTTATTCTTTTCTTGGTTTCATTCTTTCATCGTTTTCACTCTAGTCTTTCTTTTTCTCTTTCTTTCCAGTATTTTCTTTCATTCTCGCTTTCTTCCCACTAATTTCTTTCTTTCTTTCTTTCTTTCTTTCTTTCTTTCTTTCTTTCTTTCTTTGCTTGATCCCTTTGCAGTTTCTTTTTTATGTTTTCGTTCATGTCTGTCTTTCTTTTTATTCTAGGCTTTATTTCATTCCAGAAATGTTCGGAATGTTCTTTCTTCGTTTTCATTCTAGTCTTTCTTTCTTTCTTTCTTTCTTTCTTTCTTTCTTTCTTATATATCCTTTTGTTCATTTTTATTCAAGCCATTCTTTATCTTTCTTTCTTTTCTTTCTTTCTTTCTTTCTTTCTTTCTTTCTTCTTTTTATTGTAACCTTTCATCTTTCCTTTCTTCTTTCTATTCTTTTCTATTTTTCGTTTTCAATTTTCTTCTGAAACCATTCTGTTCATTATACCCTATCTATCTATCTATCTATCTATCTATCTATCTATCTATCTATCTATTTCAGTCTGTTCATATCTATCTATCTATCTATCTATCTATCTATCTATCTATCTATCTATCTATCTATCTATCTCTGCCTTTTTATTTTTTAAAGTGTTCTTTGCATTTCAATAATTTGGCGAAGTATATTTTAAACGACACCTATCAACATTTTTCTTTAATCATCTCTGCCAGTCTTCCTCACCACTCACCCTGTTCAATTTTTCCTTGTTGTTCAATTTGAACTTCTCTCAATGTTTCCGCCTCACTTCTTGACATACTCTAAGATGGTTGCCGCCTCATATACTTTTTCACACCATTGCGTCTTACGGAAAGGATTTTCTTTTTTAAACAGTATATATATATATATATATATATATATATATATGTGTGTGTGTGTGTGTGTGTGTGTGTGTGTGTGTGTGTGTGTGTGCAAATAAATAAAATAAAATAAAATAAAATAAAAAGAAGCTTGATAAACATTTAAAAGGAAAATGGCAAAACCTAACCGGGCGATAGTACTGTCCAATAATATTTGGGAAAAGTAACTTGAAGCGGAAACAACCTGACTTGAGGGAAACATTGCTCTTCAATACCAAGAAAGAAACCAAAAAACTCAAGAATTCTATGGAGCAATCCATCATCAGATCAATATAGGACGCTTCATCCTCGTCTAACTGACAAAAAAACGGACTCATAGTGAGTTCGATTCTTAATAACGTGACCAACAAGTGTGTCTATACGAGGAAATGAACTAAATTTAGCAAATAACAAACGCAAATAGATATTTCTTTTATGTCAAGCTGAAGATTATCTATAGTTTTCAGGTATTCCTATAGTAAAATCATTAGCAATGCATTTACATTATACATATAATAGCCCTATTCTATCAGTAATGCTTGCATTCATTCCTGACCACTGACAATCCCTTTCTTCCTCATTTTCAATGCATTCCTATAATAAAATCATTAGCAAAGCATTTACATTATACATATAATAGCCTTATTCTATGAGTAATGCTTGCATTCATTCCTGACCACTGACAATCCCTTTCTTCCTGATTTTTAACACATTCCTATAGTAAAATCATTAGCAATGCATTTACATTATACATATAATAGCCTTATTCTATGAGTAATGCTTGCATTCATTCCTGACCACTGACAATCCCTTTCTGCCTCATTTTCAATGCATTCCTATAGTAAAATCATTAGCAATGCATTTACATTATACATATAATAGCCCTATTCTATCAGTAATGCTTGCATTCATTCCTGACCACTGACAATCCCTTTCTTCCTGATTTTCAATGCATTCCTATAGTAAAATCATTAGCAATGCATTTACATTATACATATAATAGCCCTATTCTATCAGTAATGCTTGCATTCATTCCTGACCACTGACAATCCCTTTCTTCCTGATTTTCAATGCATTCCTATAGTAAAATCATTAGCAATGCATTTACATTATACATATAATAGCCCTATTCTATCAGTAATGCTTGCATTCATTCCTGACCACTGACAATCCCTTTCTTCCTCATTTTCAATGCATTCCTATAGTAAAATCATTAGCAATGCATTTACATTATACATATAATAGCCCTATTCTATCAGTAATGCTTGCATTCATTCCTGACCACTGACAATCCCTTTCTTCCTCATTTTCAATGCATTCCTATAGTAAAATCATTAGCAATGCATTTACATTATACGTATAATAGCCCTATTCTATCAGTAATGCTTGCATTCATTCCTGACCACTGACAATCCCTTTCTTCCTGATTTTCAATGCATTCCTATAGTAAAATCATTAGCAATGCATTTACATTATACGTATAATAGCCCTATTCTATCAGTAATGTTTGCATTAATTCCTGACCACTGACAATCCCTTTCTTCCCCATTTTCAATGCATTCCTATAGTAAAATCATTAGCAATGCATTTACATTATACATATAATAGCTCTATTCTGTCAGTAAATACATAAACATCACAAATTCTCTATTGGCTTCAAGTCAGGGGAATGTGATGACCATTCGAGTGTATTGACATTGTTTAATTTTTTTTTTTCGTAGATTATCCGTATGTTTAGCGTCATTATCTTGTTGCAAAACCCATTCATTTGGGAGTCCAAGCTTTACTACTGACCCCCAAAACATCTTGACATATTTTTGAATTCATTCTACCTCCTATTATCTCTAAATTAGCGTACCATTAACAGAAAAAGATCCCCAAAACATGATATTGCCACCACTAAATTTCACCGTTGGGATTGCGTTCTTCAGTGGAAAGTCTTTTTTATGTCTTTTCTCCAAACATGAATCTTTGAATTACACCTAAACAGTTCATTTTTTGCTTCATCTGTCCATAAAACACTTTTCCAAAATGATTCGGGTTTATTCTTATGCTCACAAACAAATTTTAACTGGGCATCACAATGTTTATTCAAAAGTATTAGAGTTTTTCTTGGAGAATGTGATCTTAGTTGATTTCTATAAAGTTCATTGCTTATTATTCGCTTAGTAGCAAAAATACCTGATGCTTTTAATTCTTCCTGTATTTCTCTTTGAGTAGTCATTGAATTTTCTTAAATTTTGTGTTGAATTCTTCTCATTGATCTGGGAGAAATCTTGTGTGGTGCACCAGATCTCAATTTGGTCTCGACAGTTTTCACCTTTTTATACTAAGCAATAATAGAACTAATAGTAGTAAATGGTATATTCAGGATATCTGCTATTTTTCAATAGCTTTCTGCTTTCCTTCCAATGTTTGATGATGAATTCATTCTACGAATTTGATAGTTTCTTGCCTTTATCCCTGATGATAATTATTGTGTATGATTTGTGCGCGGAGATAACCTTTTATAAGAAATGAATTGTGGAATGTTCTAGATTGTTCCGGTAATAAGATAATTGGAAGAATTTAACAAAATCTTACAAAGAATTATGTAAATAAAGGTAATTTAAGCCTTTTGATATTAAAGACATATTTTGCATCAAAGTAATGGGAGTAAGAGTGTGGTCTCATGTGCAAGTAACAAAAACGTATGTGTAAATTTTGTTCGTGTCTTGCGGTTCTGAAACATGTGAACGTTATCGTATGTGACTCTTATATTAAGCAAAATTGGCCTTCCTACTGTAATCGTTATTTTAGTGGGTACACGTGATTGAGATGTTACTCTTGTTTTGTTTTTATTTTATTAAACAGTGAAATTAATAACAAACGGACTAAATTGAGAAGTCATACTAAAGATAAATTTGGAGAGTTTCGTTTTAATTAAAAGTAAAGTTATTTTTCCATTGAAATAATCCTTCAATTATTTCGTACGTCCATTTTGAATATTTTTCTCTCCTTTTTAATTATTTGTCGTTTTTGATTTTCCTTCGACTTAAAAAGATTTCTGTCAAATATGATAGCGAATTAAAGGCCCACAATGGTTATTAAGAGTGTCATTGTAATCAGTAAAAGCCATTAACTTAAAAATGGTCGAAAAGAACGAGTCTGGATCATGGCCAAGGCTGTAATTAGAATGGAGGTTTTATTAATAGTTTAGTGAAAGAGAATACAACCAAATTCGGTTTTGCGCGTGACAATGCCAGGAGAAAAAAAATAAAATGATAGAAAGAAAGAAAGAACGAGATTCGTAGAAAAGTAGAAAAAAAAACGAAAGAAAGAACTAAATTTACAGAAAGATTTAAGAAAATAGAACGAAAGAAATATTGAAAGAAATGAAAGAAAGAAAGAAGGAAAGAAGGAAAGAAAGAAAATAACAGAAAGAAAGAAAGAAAGAAAGAAAGAAAGAAAGAAAGAAAGAAAGAAAGATGAAAAGAGGAGAGGGAGAAAAGAAATAAAGAATTGAGGGAAAAAAGAGTGGCTAGAAATATAAAAAGAAAGGAAGAGATGGTAATAGAAAGAAAGAAAGAAAGAAAGAAAGAGAGAGATTCGTAGAAATGTAGAATAAAAAGAAAGGAAGTACTAAATTCACAGAAAGGTATAAGAAAAAAGAACGAAAGAAATATTGAAAGATATGAAAGAAAGAAAGAAAGAAAGAAAGAAAGACATTCGTAGAAATGTAGAATAAAAAGAAAGAAGGAACTAAATTCACAGAAAGATATAAGAAAATAGAACGAAAGAAATATTGAAAGATATGAAAGAAAAAGAAAGAAAGAAAGAAAGAAAGACATTCGTAGAAATGTAGAATAAAAAGAAAGAAGGAACTAAATTCACAGAAAGATATAAGAAAATAGAACGAAAGAAATACTGAACGAAAAGAAGAAAGAAAGCAAGAAAGAAAGAAAGTAAGCAAGAAGGAAAGTAAGCAAGAAAGTAAGCAAGAAAGAAAGAAAGATGAAAAGAGGAGAGGGAGAAAAGAAATAAAGAATTTAGGGAAAAAAGAGTGGCTAGGAATATAAAAAGAAAGGAAGAGATGGTAATAGAAAAAAAGAAAGAAAGAAAAATAAAGTGATAGAAAGACAAGAGGGAAAATAGGAAGAAAAATTACGTGTTGGAAAGACACAAATGAAAAATTAAGGAAAGGAAGAAAGCGATAAAAAGTCGGGAAGAAAAATAGATAAATAGAAATAAAAGAATGAAGAAAAGAAGAAAAAAGAAAGAAATGAAGTGATAGAAAGGTAGAAGAAAATAACAGAAAGAAAGAAAGTGATAGAAAAGTAGAAAAAATAGAAAAAAGTAAAAGAAAGAAAGATAAAAGAAAAAGAAAGTGATAGAAAGACAAGAAGAAAAATAAAAAGAAAAAAAGCGAAAGAAAGACGTGAAAAATAAATAGAAAGAAGGAAAAAAGGAAGAAAGAAAAAAGGAAAGGAAGGTATAACTGTAGAAAAAATTGAAAAGGAAGGTGATAGAAAGATAAGAAGAAAAATACAATGAAGGAAAGAAAAATAAAGTGACGAAAAGACACGAAAATGTGAAAAAGACAAAAAAATCGATAGAAAGATGCGAAGAAAAACAGAAAGGAAGGAAGAAATGAAGGAAGAAAAAAAAGGAAAATAAAGGGATCGAAAGATCGAAGAAAATAACAAAGAAAGAAAGAATGTAATAGAAATGTGGAAAAAAATCAAAGAAAGAAAGATAGAATGGAAGAAAATAAGAAAGAAAAAGAAAGGGATAGAAAGACAAGAAAAATAAAAAGAAAGATAGCGAGAGAGAGAGAGGCACAAATAAAAATAGAAAAAGGAAAGGAAGAAAAGAAAGAAAAAGGAAAGGAAGAAAAGAAGGAAAAAGAAAATGATAGAAAGACAATAAAATAAAAAAGAAAGAAGCAAAAAAAGAAAGCCATTGAAAGACACAGAGAAAAAAAAGAAAGAAAAAAGTGAGTAAAAAAAAGGGCAAAAGATATTTTTAGGAATTCAGAACGAAAGACAGAAAGAAGGAAAGAAAGAATGAAATCGGCAAAGAAAGAAAGAAAGAATGAAATCGGCAAAGAAAGAAAGGAAATGGAATGAAATAGAACGGTAACAATAGGTACAAAAAGATAGAAAGAAGCAAAAAAATGTACAAAGACTGAAAAAGAAAGAAAACAAAAGAAAAGAAAGAAAAGAGTAAGAAAAACGATATGAAGGAAAGAAAGAAAAAGGAAATGAATGAGTAAATGAAAGAAATAAGTGAAATAATAAATAAAAACAATGAATGAAAAATGAAACAACAAAAAAGAAAGTAAGATGATGAAAGAATATTGTTTTAACATACATTATAGTATAGTGACAAATACACCGAGAATATTCAGCTCAGATACATTCATAGTGTATTAAATAATTACTTGATTTTGACAAATATTGACTTTCATCTAATTTTAATAGAAGAATTTAGAAATTAATTTACTGAAAAAAATAGTTTGAGCAAAGTAAACTATAAAAAAATGTTTCCTTTTTTTTTTTTTCTTTTTTTTTTTTTTTTTTTGCTATCCTCTGCCAGCCGCCATGATGGAGAAAGCATTATCTCGAACTATCGCCATTGAGACACGCTGCAAGAGCCACTCCGTTTTGCGAGGCTCGTCACTTAATCGAGACGCAATCGCGCCAATCCTCCGAAGGAACGCCATCGAACAAGGACCAATAACCCCAGAAGTCTCCACTGCCACAGGAGTAAAAAAAAAAAATCTATCAGCAAGAGAAGAATATTTAACTATTTTTTTTTTTTTGACAAATTAAAAATATTTTTTATGGTAACAAAAATATTTTATTCAGCTTGAGAAATTATTTTTTCGCTGTTTATATCGTTAGATCATGAATGGGTTCGAAAAAGTTTTAGTATTGATAGAAAAAAAAATTGAATAGCAACCGAAGGATTTCTTGCAGAAAAAAAAATAGACTTGATTCTGTCAGTCTTCAAAGAATATCCAGAAATCCGTAAGATGGCAAACTCAGCTACAATCCTGAGGCTTACGAGTTCAGATTATCGATTAATTCACGTCGCTCGGCCCACCAGTCAAAAAGTCAATCATCTTCACATGACAAGATTGTTCATTTTCTATAGCGCAAAAGATCGATAATCTGGTAACAAGGAGAGTTAAATTTCACATGATTTTTATCTTTTTATTTAATTAACCTTGCTTGCAAAACAATTTTCTCAGTAAATACGTTAAAAGGTATTGCCAGACATTGAGCGATATGGCAGTATACATATAATAGCCCTATTCTATCAGTAATGCTTGCATTAATTCCTGACCACTGACAATACCTTTCTTCCTCATTTTCAATGCATTCCTATAGTAAAATCATTAGCAATGCATTTACATTATACATATAATAGCCCTATTCTATCAGTAATGCTTGCATTAATTTCTGACCAATGACAATCCCTTTCTTCCTGATTTTCAATGCATTACTATAGTAAAATCATTAGCAATGCATTTACATTATACGTATAATAGCCCTATTCTATCAGTAATGCTTGCATTCATTCCTGACCACTGACAATACCTTTCTTCCTGATTTTCAATGCATACCTATAATAAAATCATTAGCAATGCATTTCCATTATACATATAATAGCCCTATTCTATCAGTAATGCTTGCATTCATTCTTGACCACTGACAATCCCTTTCTTCCTGATTTTAAATGCATTTCTGTAATAAAATCAATAGCAATTCATTTCCATTATACATATGACAGCTTTATTCATTAGTCCTTCCTAATAATGTCTCCTGTGAGGAGTATTTACAGTGCTGAAACGCACTTTCAAAAATGTTTACCTCCTCCTAGACTGGCTCCGAAGGCTAAATATGGTAAATGCCATATAAGTTATTTCGAATATCTGAAGAAAAAGAAATCCTTTCTCACCCTTGCCTTCAATCAGTCTTGTGAGTAACAGATTTTCTACGGCCTCCTTCCTCATTATGTAACCCAGAAACTTTAACTGTCTTTCCCTGATGTTAATAAAATATTAAATATTTCGGATATCTGAAGAAGAAAAAAAAATCCGTCATCTGTAATTGAGATTATAAGATAAAATTAACACGACTATGGCAAATACCATGTGGGGCGTCCGTTTTAGCCTTCTATGATCTATCAGGCTCGTAGATGTGATCTTTCTTGGCAAGATATCGCCATCCTCCCCAGGCTGGCTTGAATTTAGACTTTCCTTCTACAGTCCTGCTATTTACCCATAGCCAGGGGGGGTGGTGAGAAAATGTGCCATGCCAGATACACGTTTAGGCGATCATGTATTTTCGATACATGACTAACGAGTCAGATTTTTTTTTCTGCAGTTGGTTCCTATTTCTTTCTGAGATAAACAAGGCTATAGAACCCGGTGTGTCTTGCTATTTTACCCATAGCTGAGGGGAGAAGAGACTTCATACCTTTTCCCAAGGGTATTAACACACAAATGTATTAATGTATTAGCACGACTGGAATTCGAACTCGGCTCTCCGATTCCTCAATCCGAAACGCTTTCCATTCCTCCATCAGTCTTCCTCTTCTGCGGAAATTGAATGAATGCAAGACAGGATTTGGAAATAAAGAAAAGACAGAAATTATTTAAAGCTGCACCGGACGGGAAACTGTGGCGAGCCACGATCGTCTGCGTCCTGATGGGACACGGCACATAAAGAAGAAGAAGAAAAAGAAGAAGAAAAAGAAACAGAAGAAAAAGAAAAAGAAAAAGAAGAAGAAGAAAAAGAAGAAGAAAAAGAAGAAGAAAAAGAAGACGAATAAGAAGAAAAAGAAGAAGAATACAAAGAAGAAGAAGAAGAAGAAAAAGAAGAAGAAGAAGACTGATAATACGAAGAAAAAGAAGAAGAAAAAAAGAAGATGAAAATGAAGAAGAAATATAAAAATAAGAAGAAGAAGAAGAAAAAGGAGAAGAAGAAAAAGAAGCCAAATAAGAAGACTAATAATACGAAGAAAAAGAAGAAGAAGAAAAAGATGAAAATGAAGAAGAAGAAAAATAATAATAATAATAATAATAATAATAAGAAGAAGAAGACGATATCTAGCGATGGGACAAAGCATAGGGAGAAATGACTTCATGCCTTCCGCAAAGGAATTAGCTCGATGCATCGGTTCGCTGGTTTTCAGCTTGTTAGGGTCCGCTAAGCTGTTACACCCCTCTAACTCCCGTCAGCAATTTTTATCGTCCCTTGAATCCGTTTTTTTTTTCCTTTTCCTTTTCTTTTGCAACCAACTCGCACCTTCTGATGTATTTATTTTGTTTTATTATATTCATTCCATTTTCTTTTTTTTTTTTTTTTTTTTTTACCTTGATTCCATCTTTTGACGACACCCTGGCCTTACTTGTCGGCCCACCCCGGAAACTTCACCGGTCCGGATGACTGAATAGACGACACGAAACATCGAACAGACCACCGAGAAAAGAAATAAACGAACGCATCGATTTATCGGGATTAGTGCGCGAATGAGAGAATGAATAAAAGAACCATCAAGAAAATGGCTCACGTTAACGACGATACACTTCCGCCGATGACGTGGAAACAACGAGAAAGATTTTCATTGGTTGCTAACGTTTTGTCCGTCACGAAAATTCTAGCGCAGCGAGATCTGATTTTCATTGAGCATTACTTACAGAACAACACAAGGCCAACCATAACGGAAAGACTGTGTAGCGCCAATCTTCTAAGATACCCCTTCATCTTCTTCTATTCGCCGTATCTTTGCCTAATCCTGCACTGCATACCAAAATAAAAAACCTTACATTTTTATATGCCGTGTCCCTTTTTTTACGTTGGCAATCATGGCTTTCTCCATTTGTTTTTTTTTTTTTAACCTTTATTAATTTTTTCTTTGGAGACACGGCAGAGTAATAAATTCCACCCTGCTTTTTTTGGAGAAATTTTCCACCGAGTTCGAATTCCAGTCAAGTTCATTACATAAACTTTTTTTTTCTTTTTTAAACATTTCGCCCCAGCCAAGCCGGGAGTGCCATTAGCACGCAAAGGGTTACAAAGAGTGAGAGCAAGAGTAAAGAGGGGGGTGTTTGAGGAAAGGATAAAGAGAAGGACGCGGATCAAGATCAAGCCATCAGAAGATGTCGATTGACGTTACATTTGAATATTTGAAGTTTATAGCTATCAGGGAAGCAAGTAAGAGGAAGGGAGTTCAACTGTTGGGAAGTGCGAGAGAAGAAGCTGTTGGGGTAGAAGAGGCGGTTACATTTAACTGTTTCGACTGTGAAAGGGTAGGACCGAGATGTCAACCTAGTAAAACGCTTAAAATCAATGCAGATAGGGTACCATTGAAAGTAGCTCGTCAAAGCAGTTGCCATGAAAATAGAAAAGACAGAGGGAAGCCACAGTATGTCTGTGAGAAAGAGACGGTAGGCGAGATGCCAGGTCAGACAGTTCTACGACACTAGTGGTCAGAATTTTCACTATCTTTTCCATTATCAAAATAACATTGTCAATTGTCTCGGAGTTTTTAGCTAGCCGGTCTGTGGTTTGTTAATTAGATGTTCGCCAGCATTAAGTGGCTGTTATCTATCCCCGATAACACAAGTTCGCCACCAGAACATAGTCGATTTTCTTATCCATTTAGAATTTTTCTGCAATGGTAATGAAACCTTTCGCCATTTGCTACTTATCAAAATAACATTGTCAATGTCCCCGGTCGTGGGTGGCTTCTTTTATCATCTAAGCTTTTATCATCTCTTTTCCTTTCTTTCCTTTCACTTTTTCCTTTCTTTTCTTTTTGTCCTGGTAAATGGTGTCACACTTATCCGTCTTTGGATATGGTCGAGGACCTCGAGATGAACAATGGGGACACCAGACCATATATGGCAACAGTATTCAATGCAAGGACGAATGGTTGATTTGTAGATTTGAAAATTGGACTCAGGTGGGAACAACCTTCTGGCGCGACAGAGAACCAATTTGTAATATCCTTGTGAAAGGTGTGAATCCAACACTTGTCTCCCCAGCTATGGATAAATAACAGGATAGACTGGGTTGGTAACTGGACCAGGAGGAGGACAACTCTGAATTCAAAACTTTATCTAGACCTGACGAAGCACATACTATACTGCTAAGGAAATGATCGTTCGTATAATGAATCAGTGATTCCGACTACGGTTGACACCTTTTTATCTTTTTTAAATTTATCCTGTTCAAACTATTATTAGCCGTTTTTTTATTTTCACGTTTTAGATGTCTCTTCTGTTTGGCTGATCAAAAACCACAATTTACCTTTTCCTTTTTTGTTCTTTTTTTTTTCGAATCCCTTTTATCTCAACCGTTTACACATATTCGTCTATATCAGTCAAGTGCCGTCAGGACGTTGGCGATTATGGCCCCCACACAACTTCCCGGCTTTTGTAGCCTTCAACCCATCTAAGATTCTTTCGCTATCCCTAATGACGTCGCCCCCCTGGTCGCAGCGTCGACTTGTCGTTCGATCTCGTTCGCGGCTCCAAGTGTGACGTTCTAACCCTTTGGTTAGATGATTACCAGCCAAGCCGTTCCCAACTCGCTTCCAACGCCTGGTTACTAGGGTAACTGCATTGATCTCCGGTCTGCCTACCCACGTTGTGATTAGATCTTAGACAGACGGGATCAAACAGGGATTGGGGCTTTTGCAAGTTGAGTTCGACGGGGTGGTAACACACAAGAAAAAGAAAACTCACGAGGCCAAAATTACCGATAAAAAGGTAACAACTTTTTATATCTAAATGTTCGTTACATAAAATTATTCTTATTTCCCGACCCGTTTTGTGGACTGTGGCACCAAGTTTTGACCATACAACTTAAAGACTTCGAGTTGCCTTTTACTCTCTGAAATTTGCATGTCGGGGTGTGGATTGGTTTGACACTGGCGCTGATCTCTACCAGTCGTTCAAATAAGATTCTTCTCGCCGTCAGTGCGCGAATCGAATGAATTTCTTAACAAGTTGACGAGCTTATTCACTTCGGCTTGAGTTGGACGAGCTTTATTCACTTCGGGTTGAGTTTGATTTCAACTTCTTCTAAGCGCAACTGGTTTGGAACGAATTTAAAATCTTCGTGTCCGCCCTGCAACTCTTCCCTCGTCAAGATCCGAACTCTTCTTTCTGCCGTCCGGGGCTGAAATTTCTCTGTCGTCCGGGGCTGAACTTTCTCTGTCGTCCGGAGCTGAACTTTAAATTCTCATCGACTTTCGGGCCTCAGCTCCAACTCTTCTTCAGGCTTTTGGGCAATCTTCTTCACTTCGGCCTGGGTGGAAATTCTTGAAAATGGTTTTTCTTGCCCGCAAAGGGGCGAATGAACCGGGCCTGACGCCCGCGTTCAAGCTCCCTCGCTGTCCGCGGTCCAGCTGAAGCCTTCTCTCTGTCGTCGATGAGAAGGATGTAAATTGTTCAGCCCCAAAGATGAATGAAAATCAGTTCAGATACCCCGGACGACAGAGAGAAGAGTTTTTCTGTAACCCATTGCACCCGATTTGCTGAGAACTCTAAAGTTCAGCCATAAAATTACGTTGATAGGGATTAAAAAACGAGCTGACCTGCTGCCGGGCCCGGTTCATTCGCCCCTTTGCGGGCAAGAAAATCCGGAGGAAGAAATTTCGTCCAGCCCAAGCCGAAGTGAAGAAGATTGCCTTGTACAGAGCCTAAGAAGAGTTGGAGCTGCAGCCCGGAAAGTTTGATGAGAAGTTAAAGTTCAGCCCCGGACGACAGAGAGAAGAGTTCAGCCCGGACAACAGAGAGAAAGAGTTCAGCCCTCGACGGCAGAGAGAAGAGTTGGACCTTGACGAGAAAAGAGTTGCAGGGCGGACGAAGAAGAAGTTACTTGCAGTTGCGCTTAGGAAGAAGTTTCCAATCAAACCAAGCCGAAGTGAATAAGCTCGTCCAACTCAAGCCGAAGTAAATAAGCTCGTCCAACCTGCCGAAGTGAACAAGCTCGTCCAACTTAAGCCGAAGAGAAGAAGTCAATTTGCGCACTGACGGCGAGAAGAATCAGCCGTGAACGACTGGTAGAGATCAGCGCCCAGTGTCGAAACCAAACCACACCCCGACATGCAAATTTCTAGAGAGTAGGCAACCCCTTGAAGTCTTTGTTGTATGGTAGAAGCTTGTAACAGTCCACAAAACGGGTCGGGAAGTAAGAATAATTTTTATGTAACGAACATTTAGATATAAAAGGTTGTTACCTTTTCATCGGTAATTTTTGGCCTCGTGAGTTTTTTTTTTTTTACTTGTGTTTACCACCCCGTCGAACTCAGCTTGCATACGGCCCCAATCCCTGTTTGATCCCGTCTGTCTATGATCTAATCACAACGTGGGTAGGCAGACCGGAGATCAGTGCAGTTACCCTAGTAACCAGGTGTTGGAAGCGAGTTGGGAACGGCGAGGCTGGTAATCATCTAACCAAAGGGTTAGAACGTCACACTTGGAGCCGCGAACGAGATCGAACGACAGAGTCGACGCTGCGACCAGGGGGGGGGGGCGACGTCACAATTGGTACCGTGACCAAAGGATCGACCCTTGGGCAGCCACGTGACGTCACACTTCTAATCCTTGGCGTACCAACCATTTACAGAAACTCGTTCTTGATCTTCTATGTGCCATGTCTATTCAGGACGTTGTCTATCAAGCCTCTCCCTAATTTTATTTACCCTGTAACACTTACTTTGTCATTTTTTGTTGTTGTTGTTGCTTCGAATCCCTTTTTCTGCCAATGATTTACACAAACTTGTTCTTCATCTTCGTCTATGTGAGTCGTATGCCGTTAGAACGTCGGCGATTATGGCCCTCCACAATTACCCGATAATCTCCTGATACCTGGTCTGCCAACCATTTACACAAACTCATATTCTTCTATATGCCGTGACTCTTCAGGGCGTTGGCGATCATGGCTCTCCACAATTTCCTATCCTTCGTAGCTGTTAGTAAATTTTGCGTTCTTAATCTCTCTGTTCCGCAAATCATTTAATCTCGTTCGGTGGGTTAATCGCTGTTTTCCTCTGACCCTCTTACACTCAATGTCCGGTGATTGTCAAAGTTTCCTTCCTCTATATGCTCCCCACCGAGATTCCAGCCCGCCTCTGATGCTAAGAGCATGCGTCCTCTTTGTCTTCATCTCCTCTCAAATTTCGTCGTTGGACACTTGTTCGGTGAAGGGTATTTTCAGCATCCTTCTGTAGAATCGTATTTCTGTTGATTCTAAATGTACCATCCGTGAGAAGATTGTCCAGCATTCACTGCCATATAGGAGGACTGATATTACATAACAGCTCAGTATTCATTTCTTTGTTTCTGTTGCTTCAAGTCTCTTCTTCATCTGTGAGGAAATTGTCCATCATTCACTGCCATATAGGAAGACTGATATTACATAACAATTCTCCACTCGTTTTTGTTTCTGTTGTTTCAAGTTCTTCTTCATCTGTTGGAAATTGTCCACCATTCCTCTGATATTTAAGTAAGAGTTCAGTACTTTTTCTTTTGTTTCTGTTGTCTCTTCAAGTTGTTTCTTCATTCACTGCCATATAGAGGATTGAAACATAAAGCAAATTCAGTCCATTGTTTCCTTGCCTCATTCTTCTTCATCTGCCATTCACTTATAGGGGGACTGATATTACGTAAGAGTTCAGTACTCTTTTTTTTGTTTCTGTTGCTTCAAGTCTCTTCTTCATCTGTGAGGAGATTGTCCAGCATTCACTGCCATATTGAGGACTGATATTACGTAACAGTTCAGTACTCTTTTCTTTTTGTTTCTCTTGACTGAAGTCTCTTCTTTCATCTGTGAGGAGATTGTCCAGCATTCACTGCCATATAGGGGACTGATATTACGTAAGAGTTCAGGACTCTTTTTCTTTGTTTCTGTTGCTTCAAGTCTCTTCTTCATCTGTGAGGAGATTGTCCAGCATTCAATGCCATATAGGAGAACTGATATTACATAACAGTTCAATACTCTTTTCTTTGTTTCTCTTGACTGAAGTCTCTTCTTCATCTGTGAGGAGATTGTCCAGCATTCACTGCCATATAGGGGGACTGATATTACGTAAGAGTTCAGGACTCTTTTCTTTGTTTCTGTTGCTTCAAGTCTCTTCTTCATCTGTGAGGAGATTGTCCAGCATTCACTGCCATATAAGGGGACTGATATTACATAACAGTTCAGTACAATTTTCTTTCTTTCTATTGCTTCAAGTCTTCAAGTAAGAAAGAACGACAGAAAGAAAGAAAGCCAGAAAGATACAAAGAACGAAAGAAAAAAAGAATCAGGTGATTGAAGGACATGTGGGAAGGAACTAAAGAACTCGACCTGAATAAGAAAGAAAGAAAGAAAGAAAGAAGGAAGGAACAAATGAAAGAAAGAAGCAGGTGATTGAAGGACATGTGGGAAGGAAAGAAATAACAATTCAGCGCGAATAAGAATGAAAGAAAGAATAAATGAATGAATGAAAGAGAGAGAGAGACAGAGAGAGAGAGAGACAGAGAGAGAGAGAGAGAAAGAAAGACGAGTTTCTTGCGCATTTGAAAAAAGAAAGACAACAGAAACCATAGTTGCTTCATTAAGTATATTTTCTTCATGATCAAATTTTCTTTATTTCGGGCAACATCTTTTATGTGCAAACGAAGAACTGAGTTTGGTACACGGCCACAATTTTGGAGCTCCCAGTGACGAACGTAGTAACTACTCCTTAGTAATATTCAATCGTTAACCATTCTCCTACCCCCACTCAACAGTTCTTATCTTTCTGTTTGGGGCAAAGGCACAAGAGCTGTCAGTTGGGATCGAACTCACTATATAGTAACACTGTTCAACCACGCTCTTTAGGCATCGCTCTGGCTACAATGATGAACTCAATTCTCCCAATTGTAGAAATAAGAGTGCAAAAAATGAAATAAATAAACGAGGATTGTTTTTTTTTTTTTTTCTTTAGATAGAACAGCGTCCTCCTTTTGTGTTTATTTAGTTTTTCATATTTCAGGAATGAAAACGAATACACCATTCTTCGAAAGTAATTATCTGTTGCGGACATTTTTTTTTCGTTGTCCGTCAAATATAAACAATTGACATACTATTTTCGGTTTTGTATTTTTAAGATACGAGATCAAGTACCAGGATATACTATCTGTTGCCAGTATTTCTTGGAAGATGAATGCCCAGGGCACAAAATGGTGAAATGAGGTCCTTGTAAATGGATCTTGCGGAATAATACAAGTCACCGCTTTTTTTTTTTTCTGAATTCTTGGCTGAAGAAAAACTTAGACCAATTTGGATTTTTCTTTTTTATTCAATTCACCCCAATCAAGGCGATAAGGCCACTAAAACGCAAGGGAGGAAACCGAGAATGAAAAGACTTTTGAAGGAAAGGGAAGCCCAATCCTAAATATGAATCAAAGGATAATCCTAAAATCATCTTCAAAAGACTTGGAAGGAGTCGGATGATAAACGAACCTTTTTTTTTTTACTTGTGCTGAGGTAAAAAAATAAATAAATGATGAATAAAATTTCAGTGTTTATGCGGACACGTTAGAAGTGCAAGTAGACTTTAGAAGGAACCGGAAAACCAATCCTAAACAGGAAACAAGGGATAAACAATTTAGTCATGTTCAAAAACAGGGCCAGGAGTGTGAACTGGACGATAGGCAAACCCTTCCTACATGTATTGAGATAAAAAAAAAATAGAAAATAAAATTCCAGCGTGTAAGTGGAGATGTTAGAAGGATAGTGTTGAAGCAGACGAAACTGGAAACTCAATTCGGAAAAGAAAACAACGGAAAACGATCTTGAAAAAAACAAAAATGACCTTTTGCTTCTAATATTTGACAAATGCATATTCATCAAAATATTCCAAAATAAAAAAAAACAAAAACGAATGACTCAATCAAAGATACTTTTAGCACATCTCTGCGATGTAAAAAAAAGGAATGATAAATATTGTTAATATATATATATATATATATATATATATATATATATATATATATATATATATATATATATTCCATATAATATATAAATGAATTTCCTATATTCCAAGAAAAGGGTTCTGAATTTCCTGAGCAGAACTTTTAAAAGTCGTATCGCTTAACTTTCGGATCAGAAACTCAGCAGAATTCTTTAAAAATAGTTTAGTGTAAATTTCTGGAAAAATAGAATTTTTAAAAAATGAGTTGTTTAATTTTCGAATGCGAAAAGAGAAATTTTTAGAAATTGATTTGTTTCAAAGATACGAAATGAGCAGAATTTTTAGAAATTGTTTCGTTTCACTTTCGGATACGAAAAGAACAGAATTCATTAGAAATTGATTTGTTTCTAATTTTCGGATACGAAAAAGAAAATTTTTAGAAATTGATTTGTTTCACTTTCGGATACGAAAAAGAGCAGAATTCGTTAGAAATTGATTTGTTTCACTTTCGGATACGAAAATGAGCAGAATTCTTTAGAAATTGTTTCGTTTCACTTTCGGATACGAAAAAGAACAGAATTCATTAGAAATTGATTTGTTTCACTTTCGGATACGAAAAAGAGCAGAATTCGTTAGAAATTGATTTGTTTCACTTTCGAATGCGAAAATGGGCAGAATTCTTTAGAAATTGATTTGTTTCACTTTCGGATAAGAAAATGGGCAGAATTCTTTAGAAATTGATTTATTTCACTTTCGGATGCGAAAAAGAGCAGAATTCTTTAGAAATTGATTTGTTTCACTTTCGGATGCGAAAATGGGCAGAAATTGATTTGTTTCAATTTTCGGATGCGAAAATTTCTTTAGAAATTGATTTGTTTCACTTTCGGATGCGAAAATGGGCAGAATTCTTTAGATATTAATTTGTTTCACTTTCGGATACGAAACTGAGCAGAATTCTTTAGAAATTGATTTGTTTCACTCTCGGATACGAAAATGGGCAAAATTCTTTAGAAGTTGATTTGTTTCAATTTCGAAGACGAAAATGAGCAGAATTCTTTAGAAATTGATTACTTCACTTTCGGATACGAAAATGAGCAGAATTCTTTAGAAATTGATTTGTTTCACTTTCGGATACGAAAATGATCAGAATTCTTTAGAAATTGATTTGTTTCACTTTCGGATAGGAAAATGGGCAGAATTCTTTAGAAATTGATTTGTTTCATTTTCGGATACGAAAAAGAGCAGAATTCTTTAGAAATTGATTTGTTTCACTTTCGGATACGAAAATGAGCAGAATTCATTAGAAATTGATTTGTTTCACTTTCGGATACGAAAATGAGCAGAATTCTTTAGAAATTGATTTGTTTCACTTTCTGATGCGAAAATGAGCAGAATTATTTAGAAATTGATTTGTTTCACTTTCGGATACGAAAATGAGCAGAATTCTCTAGAAATTGCTTTGTTTCACTTTCTGATACAAAATTGTGCAGAATTCTTTGGAAATTACCCTTCTTTACTTTCGAAGACGAAACTGAGCTGATACCGCTTTTGAGAAAAAATCAGAACGAGAAAATGTGCTATAAGTCAAATTGAACCTCGATTGGCTATTTGGCTCTCCCTAGCCGTGCTGTCTGAAGCATGTAGAATCAGATGGTTATTCCTCCTACGAAGGAGGATGCAGGTTCGATTCCTGTCGGATGGCACATTTTCATCGTTCTTTAAGCTACCTTTTCCTTTCTATCAGCTTGGACCAGTGTCCTTTAACTTCTTTCGAAGTGACATGTCTGATTGCAACAGACGTCTTTTTGTCTCTGCTCGTAATGAGTGCAAGCGTATCCTCAATGAAGCAAAGTTACTATTTGCTGATAGGATGAAACAACGTATTGCATCTCGCAAGTTTGGTTCTAAAGATTATTGGCAGTTCTGCAAGCGTGTGCTGAACAACAGCAAATCGCCAATACCTCCCCTATTCATTCAATTCGAAGTGCTAACTTCCTCCGCTGATAAGGCTGAATGCTTTGCTCGGAAATTCTCCTCCAACTCATCACTCGACCTACCCGGAGTACCCTCACCTAATTTTCCCCTTAGAACTGACGAGCTACTTTCACTGGTACCCCAACTGCATGAATCTAAGCGTGCTACTAGGTTGGCATTTCGGTCCCGCCCTTTGACTGTCGAAGCAGTTAAATGTAACCGCCATTTACCGGCCTGAATGTCCGAGAAATTTTCATAGAAAATATTCGTCCTTTGACAGGATTCGAACCTGCATCCTATACGTAACTGTCATTTACGCTGACGTGCCTAAACTCTCGGCCACAAATGAGCGTTCGGTAGGCAAGGTCGAATTTACTGCTTATAAACTTCAATCTTCCATGAATCTCGTACATTCATAACTGCTCATGGCGTATCAAATGTAAACAAATGACGTCATATATTAAGAAATGTTATTTAATATGTTAAATGTTATTTAATACTGTTTATTATAAACAGAGCATTTACTTAAATACTTGTATCTATAATAAATAAAGTCTCTACTACAACGAGCATTACGAAAATGACAACGAGTGTTCTTTAACATTACAAATAGGTGTTAAATGCTTAGATTAGAATTAGACAGATTTATTTCGCGCTTGACATTTTTCTAATCCTGTTCTGTAATCCCGAGAGAGATGTTAAGGTTTGAAAGTCGTAGCAGATCAGGGGTTATTTCAGTTCTATCTATCTGCTACCAACGATCATGACTCATTCAAAATTACTTAAAATAACTTCTTTTCTCATATTACTACATGAAATAAAATTCAAATATTTAAATGTTTATATGCATTAAAATGATGTTGATTTGAAAAGTTTTCTTTTTTTTGTCTTATATATAAACTGTTTATTTTTGTCTCATGTATAAAAACAGATCAATGGTTATCATTTGGTTCAGGTAGAATTTTTTTTTTCTTATTGCCTCAAGCATAAATCCGATCAATCTTTATTTTTTACTCGTGTATAAACCCGAGTAATGTTTGTTTATTAGCTCAAATACCAATCGGCCAACTGTTTCTTTTTGTCTCAAATATGATCCGGACAAATAATTCTGTTTGCCTCAAGTATAAAGCAAACCAATTTTTACCATCTGACTCAAGAATAAAGCACAAAAATGTTTTTGTTACAAATATAAATGGACAAATGTTTTCTGCTTGTCTCTACTATGAATCCAATAAATATTTACCATTTGACTCAAGTATGAAGCAAAAGAATGTTATTGTCTCAAGTATAAACGAACAAATATTTTCCGCTTGTCTCAAGTATAAATCCAATCAATGTTTGCCCTTCAGTTATAAAACAGAAGAGTTTTATCTCAAATATAATCGGGTGAAATATTGTCCGTTTGTCTCAAGTATAAGCACAACCAACGTTTACCCTTTGACTCAAGTACAAAGCGTGCAAATATTTTCCGTCTCAAGTATAAAACAGACGAATATTTTCTGTCTCAAGTATAAATCCAACCAATATTTACCATTTGACACAAATACAGAGCCCAAATTTTTTTTGTCTCAAGTATTAACAGATAAATGTTTTCTGATAGTCTCAGGTATAAATCCAACTAATGTTTACCCTTTGTCGCAAGTACAAAGCAGACGGATAAATTTGGTGTCAA